TCAAAAAAAAAAAAAAAAAAAAAATCAACCCTTGCAACTCAATAAAAAGACAAATAACCCCATTAAAAATGGTCAAAGGGAGCCAGGAGCAGCAGTGGCTCATGCCTGTAATCCCAGCACTTGGGAAGGCCAAGGGAGGTGGATCACGAGGTCAGGAGTTAGAGACTAGCCTGGCCAACATGGTGAAGCCCGCCTCTACTAAAGATACAAAAATTAGGCCGGGTAGCTCACGCCTGTAGTCCTAACACTTTGGGAGGCCGAGGTGGGTGGATCACCTGAGGTCAGGAGTCCGAACAAGACCAGCCTGGCCATCATGGTGAAACCCCATCTTAAAAACAAAGAAAAAAAAATACAAAAATTAGCTGGGTGTGGTGGCGCCTCCCAGCTATTCAGGAGGTTGAGGCAGGAAATCACTTGAATCTGGGAGGAGTTTGCAATGAGCTGAGATCACGCCACTGCACTCCAGCCTCGGCGAGAGTGAAACTTTGTCTTGAAAAAAAAAAGGTCAAAGGGGCCGGGCGAGGTGGCTATTGCCTGTAATCTCAGCATTTTGGGAGGCCAAGGCGGGTGGATTTGTGACCAGTCTGGCCAACATGGTAAAACGCCGTCTCTACCAAAAATACAAAAATTAGCTAGGCAAGGTTGTACATGCCTGTAGTCCCAGCTACTCAGGAGGCTGAGGCAAGCGAATTGCTTGAATCCAGGAGGTGGAGGTTGCAGTGAGCCGAGATCACGCCACTGCACTCCAGCCTGGGCAACAGAGTGAGACCCTGTCTCAAAATAGAAAAATAAATAAAACTTAGGCAAAGGATCTGAATAGACATTTCTCCAAAAAAGATATGCAAATATTCAATAAACACAAGGAAAGATGCTCAGCCTCATTTGTTATCAAGGAAATGCAGATCAAAACCACAATAAAGGCTGGGCTCCGTGGCTCACGCCTGTAATCCCAGCCTTTTGGGAGGACAAGCTGGGCAGATCACAAGGTCAAGAGATAGAGAACATCCTGGCCAACATGGTGAAACCCCATCTTTACTAAAAATACAAAAATTACTGCCGGGCGCGGTGGCTCAAGCCTGTAATCCCAGCACTTTGGGAGGCTGAGGCGGGTGGATCACGAGGTCAAGAGATCGAGACCATCCTGGTCAACATGGTGAAACCCCATCTTTACTAAAAATACAAAAATTACTGCCGGGCGCGGTGGCTCAAGCCTGTAATCCCAGCACTTTGGGAGGCTGAGGCGGGTGGATCACGAGGTCAAGAGATCGAGACCATCCTGGTCAACATGGTGAAACCCCGTCTCTACTAAAACTACAAAAAATGAGCTGGGCATGGTGGCGCGTGCCTGTAATCCCAGCTACTCAGGAGGTTGAGGCAGGAGAATTGCCTGAACCCGGGAGGCGGAGGTTGCGGTGAGCCGAGATCGCGCCATTGCACTCTAGCCTGGGTAACAAGAGTGAAACTCCGTCTCAAAAAAAAAAAAAAAAAAAAAAACAAAAATTAGCTGGGCGTGGTGGCACGTGCCTGTAATCCCAGCTACTCAGGAGGCTGAGGCAGGAGAATCCCTTGAACCAGGGAGTCAGAGGTTACAGTGAGCCAAGATTACCCCACTGCACTCTAGCCTGGAGACAGAGCAAAACTCCCTCTCAAAAACTAAAAACAAAAACAAGACAAAACAAAACACAAGAAGACACCACTTCACAGCCACTGGGATGACTTCGCTTCTGGGTGACTTACACAGGAGACAGCAGTGTCAGGTTGTAAGAACATTGAGACAGATGTCACTGTGGTGCTCATGGCTCATTCTCTTACCTGTAGAGTGGGTCTTTATTGCCAGGGAAAGGTCTAGCTTTGACAAAGGGGACATTTGGCTCAGTCTGAGGTTCACTGGAGACAAACGGGAGGAGGGGACAGGACCCAGTAAGATTGGCCCCATGGGGCCAGGCACGGTGGCTCACATCTGTAAACATCTGTAATCCCAGCACTTCAGGAGGCTGAGGCGGGCGGATCACTTGAGGTCAGGAGTTTGAGACCAGCCTGGCCAGCATGGTGAAACCCCATCTCTACTTTAAAAAAAAAAAAATTAGCTGGGTGTAGTGGCACATGCCTGTAGTCCCAGCTGCCTGGGAGGCTGAGGTAGGAGATTGGCTTGAACCCGGGAGGCAGAGGTTGCAGTGAGCCAAGCTCTCACCATTGCACTACAGCTTGGGTGACAGAGCAAGACTGTATGAAAAAAAAAAAAAAAAAGATTTGCCGCATGGGCCTATAAGGATGATCCCAGGCCTGTCCTGGGATGCGTGCAGCATATCCACGCCAGTTATGTTACCTGGCCCAGTCCTGTGAATGGCAGTACCTTCAGAGCAGACTGGATACAGCTGCCTCCCTTCCCATTCCTGGGTACTCTGGCAGGACCCAGGGACTCACACTCTGCTCTGGAGGCTCCTCTACCTTTCTGAAAAGTTCAAACACAAGAGGTTTCCCAGGACCTTGCTGTCCTCTGGGAAGCACCACCCAAAACTTGACCTCTACTTCATCAAGATGAAGTTGGAAGTGCTCTGGGGCACCCTTGCCAGGGTGAGGCTCTCACTGGGCTGAGGGCATTGTTACTGTGGTGCAGTGCGGAACCAGCATTCTCTGGCCTTCCCCAGGCCTCTTCTGTGACCCTGTCCCTTAAGTGCAGGGCTAAGCTCACATCCTAATCACCAGGCCCAGTTTTAGTTTTTTTTTTTTTAGACGGAGTCTCACTCTGTCACCCAGGCTGGAGTGCAGTGGCACGATCTCGGCTCACTGCCACCTCCGCCTCCTGGGTTCAAGTGATTCTCCTGCCTCAGCCTCCTGAGTAGCTGTGATTACAGGCATGTGCCACCGTGACCAGCTAATTTTTGTGTTTTTAGTAGAGATGGGTTTCACCATGTTGGCCAAGATGGTCTTGAACTCCTGACCTCAGGTGATCTACCTGCCTCGGCCTCCCAAAGTGTTGGGATTACAGGTGTGAGACACCGCGCCTGGCTACAGTTTGTTCTTTTTGTGTCCATCTTTGTTTACTTTAAGGTCAGAAAGTTTTTGTTTGTTTTTGAGACAGTGTCTCCCTCTGTTGCCCCAGCTGGAGTGCAGTGGCACAATCTCAGCTCATTGCAACCTCTGCCTCCTAGGTTCAAGTGATTCTCCTGCCTCTGCCTCCTGAGTAGCTGAGATTACAGGTGCTCACCACAACGCCCAGCTAATTTTTGTATTTTTAGTAGAGATGGGGTTTCACCATGTTGGTCAGTCTGGTCTTGAACTTCTGGCCTCAAGTGATCTGCCTGCCTCAACCTCCCAAAGTGCTAAGATTTCAGGTGTGAGCCACTGTGCCTGGCCCCGAAAAGCCTTTATCTCAGTATGTAGCTCGGTGTGGGCACCACTGTGACCAACCTGAGGGTCTGTTCTCCCAAACTCCTGAGCTATTGTGGGGCAGGGACTGGGTGTACGTTGCTCCCCACCGCACCTGCCCTGCAGAACCTTGTGCCTGGCCCCCAGCAGCCACTCACGGGACACTTACGGAGCACTGAAGTAAACCAGGCAGAGACGGGACCATCTCCAGCTGTGTAGCTGGCTGTGTGAAACACAAAAGCAACAAGGCCTTTGACCTCCAGGCAGGAAACATCAACAAGAAAGATGCAACTTCCAGAAACACTTGGCGGGGAATCAAAAACCAGTGCCCCGGGTTTCTGACACTTTGATTCTTATTTATTTTGGCAAGAGTGAGTGACTGGCTACACAAATGTGATTTCACTTTTTTTTTTTTTTTTTGAGACGGAGTTTCACTCTTGTTACCCAGGCTGGAGTGCAATGGCGCGATCTCGGCTCACTGCAACCTCCGCCTCCTGGGTTCAGGCAATTCTCCTGCCTCAGCCTCCTGAGTAGCTGGGATTACAGGCACGCGCCACCATGCCCAGCTAATTTTTTGTAGTTTTTTAGTAGAGACGGGGTTTCACCATGTTGACCAGGATGGTCTTGATCTCTTGACCTCGTGATCCACCCGCCTCGGCCTCCCAAAGTGCTGGGATTACAGGCTTGAGCCACCGCGCCCGGCTAGTTTAGTATTTTAATTTAATTTTTTTTTTTTTTTTTGAGACGGAGTTTCGCTCTTGTTACCCAGGCTGGAGTGCAATGGCGCGATCTCGGCTCACTGCAACCTCCGCCTCCTGGGTTCAGGCAATTCTCCTGCCTCAGCCTCCTGAGTAGCTGGGATTACAGGCACGTGCCACCATGCCCAGCTAATGTTTTGTATTTTTAGTAGAGACAGGGTTTCACCATGTTGACCAGGATGGTCTAGATCTCTTCACCTCGTGATCCACCCGCCTCAGCCTCCCAAAGTGCTGGGATTACAGGCTTGAGCCACCGTGCCCGGCGTGATTTCACTTTTTATCTTTTTTTTTTTGAGACGGTGCCTGACTCTGTCACCCAGGCTGGAGTGCCGTGGCTCTGTCTCTGCTGCCCTGGTTCAAGCGATTCTTCTGCCTTGGCTTCCCAATAGCTGGAATTACAGGTGCCTACCACCATGTCTGACTAATTTTTGTATTTTTACTGGAGACGGTTTCACCATCTTGGCCAGGCTGGTCTCAAACTCCTGACCTCAGGTGATCCGCCTGCCTCAGCCTCCCAAAGTGCTGGGATTACAGGCATGGGCCACTGTGGCCAGCCTATTTTATTACTATTATTATTTTGAGACAGGGTCTTGCTCTGTCACCCAAGCTGGAGTGCAGTGGAGTGATCTTGGCTCACTGCAACGAAGCTCACTGCAACCACCTCCCGAGTTCAAGCAGTTCTCCTACCTCAGCCTCCTGAGTAGCTGGGATTACAGGCACGTGCCACCATGCCTGGGTAATTTTTGTTATTTTTAGTAGAGATAGGGTTTCACCATATTGGCCAGGGAAATCTCAAACTCCTGACCTCAGGTGATCTGCCTGCCTTGGCCTCCCAAAGTGCTGTGATTATAGGCGTGAGCCACCTCTTCTGGCAAGTTCATACTTATTAACATGTCATTTGCCATGGGAATGAGATCCTGTCTCAAAAAAGAAAAAGCAGGCTGGGTGCGATGGCTCACGCCAGCAATTCTAGCACTTTGGGAGGCCAAGGGGGGCAGATCACGACATCAGGAGATAGAGACCATCCTGGCTAACGTGGTGAAACCCAGTCTCTACTAAAATATAAAAAATTAGCCGGGCATGGTGGTGCATGCCTGTAGTCCCAGCTACTCGGGAAGCTGAGGCAGGGGAATCACTTGAACCCAGGAGGCGGAGGTTGCAGTGAGCTGAGATCATACCACTGCACTACAGCCTGGTGACAAAGTAAGACTCCATCTCAAAACAGACAAATCAACAAACAAAAAACCCCACAAGGTTTTGTTAATAATTACTCAAGTAATATATTTTTATTATTTAATTATAACATATTTAATATGATAATTATATGTATTTATTTATTACTCAAGTAATATATTTATATTATTCCTTTTACAGGAATAATATAAAAGCAGAAAACTTTTCAAATAATCCGTGGAGGCAGATTTGTTTATAGCCTGTTTGGATTTAGCCTGAGTGCTAAAGCAGGACGGGAAGTGTGAGTGGGTGGTATTCAGGGACAGTCCCTGCCCTGGGCCTCAGTGGGGGAAAAGGGAGGGGCAGGGCCCACTGATGTGGGTCATTCATGAGCACTGGCTGAACTTGCTGCTCCCCAAAGGGCCCCTCTGTGATATTTTTTTTTTGAGGCAGGGTCTCCCTCTGTCACCCAGGCTGGAGTGCAGTGGTGCGATCACAGCTCACTGTGCAGCCTCAACCTCCTGGGTTCAAGCAATTCTCCAACCTCAGCCTCCTGCATAGGTGGGACCACAGATGTGTGCCACCACACCCAGCTAATTGCCCAGGCTGGTCTGGAACTCATAGGCTCAAGTGATCCTCTTGCACTGGCTTCTCAAAATGCTGAGATGAGAGGCATGCGCCACCGTGCCTGGCTCCCCTGTTATGTTTCCCCCCATGAGGCACAGGCTGAAACCTGTGTCACTAATTTCTCCAGGAACAGTCCAGGCAGAGACCAGACACCCTGACATTCGGTTTGCTAACAGGCCTCCTTGAAAGTGCGGGCCTGCTTGCCATCTGGCTCATGGGAATGCCGAAAACAGTTTCACGACCCTCAGAACTACCATTGTGGACCTATGGGGGCCCAGGACTCCCCAAAATAAGGAACAGCTGTTTGAGAGCAAGTAACATCCCTGGGACGTTTGGATGTGTGCCTGAGGGTGTCACGCACTATCCTGCCACCAAGTGTCTTTCAGAGCTGGGAGGACTTGGCTAGGAAGCCCCCATCCTCGCCAGCCCTGTGACGTGGGAAGACTCTGAGATGTGGCTGGTGCTATCCACTTGGGTCATGCATTCACCTTTTCAGCATTTCCTGACCTGAGCCTTCCTCTGCAGAAGCCACTGGGGCCAGGAGGAAGACTGGGGTGGGGGAACAAGATGTGGGTTTTGGGTAAAAGGTCCCTCAATAAGGCGGAAAGAATTTGAGCTCATTCCTTACTTCATAGGGGCAGCAGCCTTCGGCGAATGAGTCACTGGGATTGGTGCTGGGCAAAGACTCCAGGGAGAAAGGCCACCACAAAGTTACAGCCAGGGCTTCCTGAGATGAGCCCACCCCCTTTCCCACAACTTTCAGAGCGTACTCTGCACTCCCTGTGCCCTCCTGGCTCCAAAATGACCACTTCGAAGGAAAACCTGGGTCACTAATTTCTCCAGGAACAGGCCAGGTGGAGACGCAATTCAGGAACCCGACGGGGGCAGCGTGCAGCCTGGTTCGGAATGCGTTGCTCTTGGGATTTTTTTTCTCCTGTGATTGGTATCAGTTCCTCTTCAGAGCCAATCATTAACCTCACTGAAAGCCTCGCTTGAGAAGCCACAGGAACAAGTGACTGGTTGTAGCTGGAAATGCAGAGGGGGCTCCATGGTGTGCCCAAATCTTCAGCTTCCCCAGACAGAGGAGTCCCCCAGCAGTGTCCCCGCCTGCATTCAGCCTCTGGTCGGATGGCAGAGGCCTGGATGTGGACACGGCCCCTCTGCTGTGGGCAGTGCTACCTTCTGGGAGCTGAGTGGGTTGGTGATGGTTGGGGATGGGGGCGCCGCTTTCAACAGCATTCAGCCAGGTGGAGGGGGTTTAAGGTTTGCCCGCCCACGACAGCATCACGCCTTCTCCAGTCTGTAAAACACCAGCTGAGTGAGCAGCTCTGTTCTGAGCAGCAGGGACAGCAGCGCCACCCCTGCCTGGGCTTGGGTCCCCAGCCTATCATTTTTGGATTTGAGAGAGGCCTGGGCTCCTCCAGTTTGACCTCCCAGCCGCCAATGAAGCCAGTCAGGTAGTCCATCCGTACCCCAATCCATCCAGTGCCACCTCTCAGTCTGACCACCTGGCCCAAGCTTTGCCCACTCTCAGACGACAAGGCCTTTGGGACAGGCTGCAGCGCCGAGTAGCCAAGAGCAGCCCGTAGAGCCAAGGCCGGGCTTCTGCTGGGATGAGGGTTGGGAGCGGGCTGTGGAACCCCCCCACCCACAAGGCCACAAGACTGCCTCCCCTCCCCGTCCCGCACCGTGACTTGGGGAACTCCAGCCGGATTCAGAGCCCTCCTGTGGCTGTGGTGAGGAAGGGTCGCCTGCGTTTTGGGAGGTGGGACAGCGCAGGGCCGGCGACTCCCCAGCGCGCCAGCCAGCGCTTAGATAAGTCCGGCTTTATTTATGGACGGCCGCCGCCTGCAGCTCGGGGTCCGGGCGCTGCTTTAGAGTGGCCGAGGCGCCGCTGCTGACCATGAGCGCGGGGTAGAGCGGCTCGAGGAAGGCGGCCAGGAAGCGGTAGAGGAGGCTGGCGCCACCCGCCAGGCCGTAGAAGGACAGGCAGCCGGCGCTCCAGTCGAGCGCCACGCCCAGCGTGCGGTGGTAGGCGCCGCGCAGCACCGTCTGCGCGTTGTCGTGCCACACCGAGAACTTGAGCGAGTCCCACTCCAGGCACCAGGAGTAGGGGTTGCGGCCCAGCAGATAGACCACGCTGCAGCGCGCGCGGCCGCGGAGCGGGGATCGGGGGCGGTAGGTGACGCCCAGGCACACCCACGAGTTGGACACCTCCACCTCCCAGTAGTGGCGGCCCTCGGACAGGCCGCGCGAGCACAGCACCTGTGGCCACTGCTTGAAGCCCGGGAACGGGCCGCCCTGTCTCGGGGGCTCCAGGTGGATGCCCAGGTTCAGCACCGAGTGGGTCTCCTTGAGGAGGAACAGCTCCTCGCCTGCTGTGGTGGGGTCGAAGTTCAGGTTGCAGTAACCTGGCGGGTGGAGGTGGGGAAGCTGGGTCAGCAGCCCCCAGGGCAGGGCGCTGGGTTGCTAAGCATTTGCATGGAAGTCAGGGGATGTTTCCACGCAGGCTCCTGGGAGCCGTCCCTGACCCACTCACCCCTTCCGGCACTGAACTCGCCCGCTGCCCAGCCATAGCCTGTAGGGTGAGTGAGTGCTGCACTCGGTCATCCCCTCCCCCTGCCATCAGACGCTAACATCAATCTCCCTTTCTGTTTGTTCAGGGACACAAGACAGAGTTGGGGCCTGGCGAATTGGCTCACGCCTGTAATCCCAGCACTTTGGGAGGCCAAGGTGGGCGGATCACCTGAGGTTATGAGTTTGAGACCAGCCAGCATGGTGAAACTCCGTCTATACTAAAAATGCAAAAATTAGCGGGGCGTGGTGGCACGTGCCTGTAATCCCAGCTACTTGGGAGGTGGTGACAGGAGAATTGCTTGAACACATGGGGCAGAGGTTGCAGTGAGCCAGAATTCCGCCACTGCACTCCAGCTTGGGTGACAGAGTGAGACTCCATCTTTAAAAAAAAAAATGGACAAGGCCGGGCGCGGTGGCTCAAGCCTGTAATCCCAGCACTTTGGGAGGCCGAGGTGGGTGGATCACAAGGTCAAGAGATCAAGACCATCCTGGTCAACATGGTGAAACCCCGTCTCTACTAAAACTACAAAAAATT